ACTTACAGTTGAGTAAATATATTCCACGTGAAATTTAATACATTAAGCTAATGGAAATTAATTCTTTAGTTAGGCGATATTATATCAACAGATTGGAGACAGAAAAACAAGTGCTTTTACAAAAGTTGAAGAACACATGAAGGCTGCTATTGTTTTATATATCTCTGAAGGTTGGGGATGATTTCTATGCCCTCATAATGTTTCGCATTCTTGGTGTGATGAAACTGATCAGCAGATAGAGATTGATATTCAGGTCCCACCTGAGCCAGGGTTTTGTTTTCTCAAAGTTTACATCATGATTACTGTGTTAAAAAATGAAGTAGTGATCATTAGAAGCCTTATACACAATCTTCTATTCAATAATCTGGAAATAGAAAGAAAGAACATCATAGAAAGTATAACATGAGATCTATTTTGTTCTTTGGTTTCTCTTCAGCTGCATATAACTCGTTGAATTCATTATTACAGCTTGTATGCAGTTGAGGAGAAACCATGAAATGAACTGCATCCAATCTTTTTCTGCTCTAATATTTGTTCTTTCCCTTTTTTTCTAAACCAGTGATCATTTTGTCTAACTCATCGGGTTTTGCAAGAGGCACTCAGCCATCCAGTGAAAAGCATAGTGCTGGAGTCTCTGACTTCATTGCCACTTGAGGTTTATCCCGAATCTCTCTCTCTCAGTGTGAAAGTGTCGATACGTAAGAAATTCAAATCCACAATTCCCTGTCTTACAACTCAGTTGATAAACAGTGATGTGACTAAAAGCTATGCTTCCATTAATAAAGTAACGTAACATCAATTTAGTTGGGCGGTGAATAGAATTCAGACTACTCGATCTACAGATCAAGTGTTTAAATTACACTGTTAATTATTAACACCTTTGAAATGAATAATTAAAGGGATAAATATATATGCACACTGTAGTGTAGTATTATTCTTTGACGTTATACTTCACTGGCATACTGCCACGTAAATCAATAAAATGGATACAACTAACCAGTAGGAATTAAAATGTCAATGTCAGTCACCCCACCGTCATACGAAACCAGGCCATGGGATATTGTTATAAGCAGTTCGATGAATATAAAGTTCAGTCATTGGGGTGGTATGAAAGATTCATATTTCTAAATTGTGTGAAAGACTGAAAAGTAAAATGAAATATGCTGCCGACATGTTTAATATTGTATTAGTAAGCATCTTGTTGGTTATAACAATGCATCTATCTGCCTCTTAGAGAATCTTAAGACTTCGACTGCCTAGAACAGATGATTGGTCTTAGTTTAGGAAGCTATGATGATACCTGTCGATAGGCACACTTTAGGTTTCGACTGTAACTTACAAACAACATAGATACAGTATCATCGCGCGACCACAGGGATAGAATTCTATGAGTGATATTTCTGAATTTTTGTTGACCCCTTATATAAACACTATACTAATTCAGTGTCACAAGTTGTTACATAGCATAATCACCGACTTTACTGGGAATCAGAGATGGACATTAAATACTATGAAATCATAGTGGAGATCTAGAACACTCAACACAAGAAACACGATATGAATTTTCAGTACTAACATCAATCCAGTGTCTTTAAAATGTTTCAGGAGCGCCTCCAAAAGACCGCCACCTACCCTCGATACTGAAGTTCAAGTGACCTGTTGGAAAGGATAAGCAGGTGACAAGTAACTGTAGCATAGAACCAGTCACTAGTCCATTATTCAATAATTATGCAGAAGGAAATGGAGATAGATTGAACTTACTCTGAGAAGACCATTGAATGACATCACAAGCCGGTCCCTCGAGTGGAGTCCGAATGGGAAGCAATCGATGAGCTCGGAGGTGGGTCCGAATCGACATAGAGGGTTTCATGTGAAGAAGAGGTGAAATCTTGTGGGCAATTGTGAAACCTACTAAAAATGCTACAGAGAACAAAGTGAAATGACGATTTGCTGTTGAAGCAATATGCTCCACTAGGAAGCGAAGGGAATAATAAATAGTGTGAAGATGTGGTTTACTGGCTTAGACAGTCGACTTTCAACCATTCAGTGGTCTCAGATTCGAATCCTGCCTCGACTAATTCAACCTGGGTAACTGACTAAGTGGTATCATCAGAGCTCACATGGTGTGTTCAAAGGTAACAGATAACCAAACACTATTAATAGTGAGCAAGTAGGTGTTTATTGATGACAAAATGCAATGTAAATTAAAGAAATCAAAAACCTAAAATTCATACCACAATTTGCAAGTAATAATAATATTCCCATTTTGCTGTTTATTACTGGATTCCTCGCATTCTGTTCTCACCCTCTTTCCTTTGTGTTGCTTCTTCATAGACTTTTTCAATGACATACAAATTATCATGTTTTCTCTCAAGGCATTACTAGATATACTACTTATATCTATTTATCAGTTATGTACAGCACATCATTAATAGTAGTAGGTGGGATTGCGGGTGGAGGAGGCGGCGGAGACTGTCACAATAATATGATGATGATGATTCTGCGTATTCCTAGTCTCATGAATGCAGAGCTTTTAAGGTGCATACGAATTTTGATTTAAGGAAGCCAGTTTAGTCAATTAAAATTCGTTGACATATTTCATCTGTGACACTGCATCCATTTCTCCCAGAATATTTTTTCACTTCTTGTTTTCTAAATAGAGCATAGGGCTGCTGACTTTGAAGATTCAGTAGCCATAGTGTTCTTTTTTTACGGGATGGAGCTGCTAGCATCACGCTAAACCTTCTCTCTTTTCCGAGCTTACTGTAGTCTAGTGAGCTAGGCGAGGTGCAGAAGTGCTGCGGCTGGGAATCGACATCTAACGTCTTTCTCGGTTGATGAACTTTCTATCACTAGTTAAAAGGCTGGTACATATTTTCAGTGGGTTTCTTTCACTGACCTACACCAGTCTAAACGTATAATCTTAAAACAATTGTCCAAGTGTAAAGATGTTTTAACTATGGCTTAGAATTTGTCATAAGCGTGATTTCGTCATCTCATTAAGGTTCTCTAACTGATATTAGTTCGTGATCTTACTTGAAATCGTGTAAAGGACTGGAGACATCAATGTTGGGCTAGCTGGTTGGGTAAGGAGGGCGGCCATTACCCTTCATCTGCAGGATGGATTATGGTCCGATATCTCCCAACTAATAATTGCTGATATTTGCGCTGTGTCGCTTAATATCTGTTCTTGACGAAATACTACAATGAAACCAGTTAGCTTCAGACTAGTCACACAAGTAAATAAATAGAAATGATTATTAACCTCTATTAGAGAACATCGTATATGTATATATATATATATATATCCATTAATTTCTACGAATTCGCTCGTAGCTCAGTTGGTAGCGCACCATACTGACAATCACTAAGCCAGGAGTTCAAATCCTACCTTGACTTAAATTTCCACAGCATCTTCCGTTATTTCCTATCACATAAACAGCTTTTTGACAGTTACAAATAGTCTCGTCATCAAGGGTTATTTTAATGAAGAATATTTGTTGACCATTGCATGGATTATTATGCCATGGTTGTCATCACCGTTGAATTAGGTCACTTCACCAGTATTTCCTTATTTTCATACAAATTTAAAAGCCATTAAATCCCTTATCAGAATCACTAGTTCCCTGTTCCAATTCAGATTTCAACACGAACTGGTATCGTTTTGAGAGAACTACTGAGAAGCGAAGAATAGTGGACAGGTTCTTTTTTCCTAGATTGGGACTCCTCACTAGAGTGCATCAACAACCCTATGGAGATCGAACACAGTAGCTGAAGGTTGTGAGGTGAGCATGCTGACCACTCAACCATGAATTATAATTTGTGACAATTCGGGTTTCCGCGTTGACATCGATCAAATTCCTACGATCCGATAACTGGACGTTCATCATTTTATTGCTTCCTTGAAATCACTTAATATTCACACTGTGTTTCATTTTTTGTCTTTTATTTTCGGATGCATATTTTTTATTCGAAAATGATCGTTTTATTTTAATAAAAGAGAAGAGGTTCACGTCAGTCATAAGGTGGTATTTTAGCATGACCGAATAGGCTTTATATCGATTGTTCATTTAAATGTTACAAAACGAAGGTGCATCATTCTATTGGTATTGATTATTGATTTGACCTGCTTTAAAATAAAACCTGTGTTAGTTAAAATAGAGTTTTCGACCTGTTATTTTAAAGATTACTAATCAATATATTTTTCTTATGACATGATTTAATTTTTAAATAATTTATTATGATTTGATTCTTGCATCTGGTGAATGTAAGAGTTAATTCTTAGATAATCAAGATTACACCTGAGTGTATGAGTTAATATTCAGGTGTCAGACTTGTGGAGATCTTACTGTTTTTGACCCAGTGACTGAATTATCGATGGGCTCATCTCATGACCGAAAGGTCCTGGGTTCTATCTTTAGTGAGTTCATGGGTACACACTGCTCAAGAATCACAAACTAGGACGAAACAGGGTTCCAGTGCTTGCTTTTCATCAGTGGTTTTCTAAACAAACATTTAGAAAATTTTAACTTCTTTGTAAACCTAAAGATGTGTTTATAAAACCATTGGAGCATTCATTAGACAGCCACTTCGTCCGATTCCAGGACTCTTCAGAAACATGATCCTCGCTTATTGACACATTAAGCGTTTGACTGTTGAATTACTTTACCTTTCAGTCACTATTTTACTGGATATTCAGTTAGCTTTGATTTCAAATCTGTCTTATACTCGAATTGATGCATTGATGCGGCCTATGATTTATCATTTCGGAATTCTAAGTGATAATTTTTTAAACTGGTTTGGCTTTGCCTGAAAACAAACAGATTACATTTATATTTGCTTTTTAAACATGGATAAACTTCACTGTTGTATTGAATTTTTTGTTACAGTTTTTTACTTTGTTTTTTTTTACTTTAATATTTCCATGGTCCTCTCACCTCCCATTGAACATCCAACCACTTGTATACGTGTGTTTGTATGCATTAACTGCTGATGTTTAGCTGCAGTTAACAAAGAAGGCCGTGATATGCTATGGAATAAAACAGCTGAAGCGATCAAATATATTGCAAAGCATTATATTAATGATTACGATTACTTTTTGAAAGCAGATGATGACTCTTATGTTATTGTCGAAAATCTACGTAAAATTCTATACAAACACAATCCTGATGAACCCTTCATTATGGGTAGACGATTTAAGGTTAGCTGATATTTGTTTTCCTGTTTTATTTTGCCTTATTATTAATGTTATTGTTATTATTCATTTAATGCGTACCGAATAGAGCATAGGGCATCAGTGGTTCTTTCTCTGCAACTACCTTGAACTAACGCCACAACTTCTCATAGGCGTTCACCTTCTCTTCACATGATTCTTTTCACGTCACCCTCAGACTTACGCGCAACTCGTTACTTACCTCTCATTCTGGTTCCACTCAGCGTCTGGCGTGAGATTTGACCTTGAAGTTTATTTCCTCAGCGTATGTTCATTTCATTTCCATTTGTTTTCGCATATTTGCTGGGCACCAGGTTCTTGGAAATATGTATCTATTTTGTCTTGTGGTAGATTTCATCACGAACAAACATCAGTTAGAGTAGTACTGAAAACTGGGATGCATTAAACATCTGCTTCGTTCTTATTTTGGGCTCTTCATCAGTGCCAGCCAGTCACCCCTCTCCCACTTAGGTAACAGACTTACAATCTTCAGATTATATTGCTAGCCCGTTGATCATCCAGTCATCCAGTGATCCATGGATTCCAACTTCTGTCAATTCACTACATGATATCATCTAATGCCATCGGTGAGTATTTGTCATCAAACTCAACTTTGTTGACACTAGATATCACAACCTGTCACTAGGACTACGGGGAGTGCATCAGCTAGTCAGTCATCTATGAACAGTGGATTAATCTCCACCTGTTGTGTTGTGAATATTTGACTGATTTCAAGTTAGGTGTCATCACGAAATTCACGTCAGTTATTTTTGTTGAATAACACACCCTCAACAGGATATTGGTATCACCTATCAAAGTTGGCATATGTTTCTGAGATGGCTTGATATGTAATTTAGTGATGTGGTGAAGATTCTTTTGAGTTGGAGCTAGTTTGATCGATCTAGTGAATTTGATCTCAAAAATCAGACTCAGTTAGATCTAACAGTCTCAATATTGTGTGTCGAATCAAGTTTGTTAACTCCATTCACAATCTGTAACTGAAGACCACAATATCATTTGGGAAGAAACTCAGGAAACCGTTAGTAGTAGGTAAACTACATGAAGAATTTATACCATCTCTGAAAAAGTACACACAATCATTTAAACATAAAATGAAGCAGGGTCGAACCAGAGGCTCCATCCCTTAGGACTTAAATATCAAGTAGATAACTCGGTTACATCATAATTGGTACAGAAACACAGTTTGAGTATTTAAACCATCAGCTGTTTGACTTGAAACCTGTATATGAGGCAAAGGTGTGGTTTAAGTCCAAGACGGTTGGTATTTCAGAGCAGTACCATATTTCTTCTATTATTCGGCCGAAGTTGTTTACTAAAGAGCATATATCAGATTTAAAAAACCCACAGAGCAGTGACAAAATTGTTGTCCTTAGACCAGGTAGGGGTTCTATTGTCGTGATAATGAACCAGCAGGGGTGAAGTCAAACTATAGAAGCCAGCTCTGATGGACCACACCACTAGCCTTGAGTAACTGGTCAGAATTGAGGAGCGATGAAAGTGGAGAATTTGTTAGAAAGATGATTTTAAATCATGGTGTTCGGAGATCCTTATATGTTTCTGGTTCTGCTCTATAATTCAGTTTGGTTACACCACCTGCAACTCCATTTGGTTATTGAAGGTCGTGTGCTAAGTTGGCTGCTATAGTTTAACTTTGCCACAGAAGGATTACATTTTTAAAATGACAGTGCTACTAATGATACAATGAGATTTCAGGCAGATACGTCAAAAAATACCTATGCAACAACAGCTTTCGAAAACAATGAACACATATCCTAAGGGTTTTTCTAAGAAAGAACTAACTGACTACAATACGTGTAAGGAACTTAAACCAAGAGGTTCACGCATTCCGTTCATGTATGGCCTATCCAAAGTCCAGAATATCAGACATACCAAAGAAATCAGTAATGTCAATGGTGAAATCACCATGCTATAAACTGGGTAGTTGGCTGGTTGGTACAAAAGTCTGAACCAATCGGAAGAAAGTTGGCAGTTCACACTGTCAAAGATTCATTTGATTTTTCATACGAATACTTGGTCAGTTAAATATTTCAGTTGAACTCTTGATATCATACAATATTTCTTCATTATTTACAAATATGGCAAATAAGGAAACAGTGAGAATCATATGCCAGCAGTCTGAAATACTCCCTCTTCCTGAAAATGAGTTCAGACAGTTACTAGTCATTTGTACAAAGAATGTTCAGTCCCAATTCAATAACGAGACCAGCTGATTTTTGGTGTGTCTATGGATTCGTCTTTGGGCCCTGTTCTTGCAGACATACTCATGGCCTACCTTGAATAGATGCAACTGAAATCCGAAATAGAGGAGACAACATATAGCTGGAGATATCTTCACGATGCCGTTGTTGTTCACTGTGATGTAGAGAATGCATCAACCATACTTGAAAAACTCATCCTCATGTTAAGTTTATAGCGGGTTATCAAAGCAACAACCAGCTGAACTTTCTGGATCTTGGCATAAAAGAAAGAAATAGTGGGACCATCGGTAAGACAATCCATAGAAAAGAAACCTGGACGGGTCAATACTTGAGTTACCATAGTTTCAGCCCAATTGATTACAAACGAAGTTCTGTCAGAATACTGTTTAGTAGAGTGAGGGCGTTTTGTTCAGAAGACAAGATTGGTGAAGATCTCATGATTATTGAAAAGGTTCTTTTGGAGATCAAATATCCCAAGAAGTTCATAATGAAATATAGAAGAGAAGAAACATCTAGACTGAAGGCCGTAACTGTTGAGAAGAAATCAGTTTTATTTTCTTGGTGTAAGAAGAGAAACAAGCGTCAAGAATAACAGGAGAAAAGAATCCAAGACTCTTTGAAAAGGATATTTTCCCGCCACTAGACTGATTCCTCTTTATAATATAAAATGCTCTCTAATACAGTCTAAAGTAGATGAGTATCTTGCTCATGTTAACTCTAAATGCATTTACCAATTCATATGCACTTGCGGTATCAAATACATTGGAAGGACTGAGAGGAGAAAATTCACTACAATCTTCTTACGACAATTAAGACTGTTTGCATCTGCAATTGCTAGGCAGCTGGTTGACACAGAGCATTCAGTCGAAATCAATCAAGCCTTCAAAATAATCAATATACAGAGAAAACCCCAGTTACCTTGGTTTGCAGAAGCCATTGCTATCAAACGATTTCAGCCTAATCTATGTATACAGAAAGATGGTGTGAATTATCTCCCATTGCCCTGGTAACTAGACATCTGTACTGTGTTTCTGTGTTTTTGTTGCGTCACAATTTGTTTTTGACTGCAACTTACTAAACTGAACTCCCTATTAATCTTGCAGTTTACTTTATTGTTTGTTAACGTAATAAATTCACTTCTGCTTACCATTACTTTTCAACGCCACCGTCTCCTCTCGAGTGTCCGAGCACATTATGTATAAACAGAGTCTGATTGTTAGATTATTTAACATCTTTTATTTGTGTTTGGTGTTGCACAACTGTGCTTTTTGAGTTGAAATAATTTTGAAGTATGTCTTATATTTATGTATTGATATGTCATTTTTTGGCTGGTGGTGGGTGGCTGTTGTAAAGCCATGAAATAAAAAGCATGAACTGTTTTTATCCTGCAAATATGTTCGTCTGGTCTTTGTTCATTATCCATGTCCCTAAACAAACTGTAATTATTAACGTTGACAATGGAAGATATTCACCTGAAAGTTGAATAAAGTGCGTTGTCTAATGAACTTGGCTAGGCAAATGAGTGTCAGCCTGCATTCTAGCAACATATTTTGCATGGGTGACGTATAATCATCAAATAAAAATAGGATGGACAGTTCACGTTTTTTGGATAACAGAAACAACTGAATTTTAGAATATATGTCAGTTTGGAAATCCTGTGTGGTTTGTTGAAGCAGAGACAATGAAACAGCATATCTAGAGAAACTTACACATAACCTTTACTCAGAATAAAATAATTGTCAACAATTTATCATTTGATGGTGAAACTACTTGTAAGAGCCCTTGATTAGCAGACTATTATCGCCTTAGTGTGTGATGATGATAAAAGTGAAGTGAAACTCTGCATTGTTTAGAGGATTCCAACAGATAACTATCGACTAACTAGGTCCCCACTCCTCCAGTTCAGCCAAGACACCCATATGCTTGCAGCGCCAGAAGATAAGGGAATTGGTAACGAACCTTTTTTAAGGGAAAACACATCGTATTTACACATTTCTAGCCACACTGAAAACTGGTTAGGTCAGCGGACAACAAATCATTGTGATTGGTTGGCGATTGGCCATAGGTTAAACACAGGGTTAAAAAGTCGTCCAGTGAGAATACTTCATATCCACAACGTTGACCAAATCCAGATTTGAGGAATAAACATTTCTATCTCTACGGCCAATAACTTGAAATGTTGATTTCAGTTTTGGCCGCTTCCTATTAATTTGCATCTATATACTACGTGTAAGTCTTGTCCGTAGCACACGTCACAAGCTAACCAAGTCACTTCATTGCAATCATCAGGCGTGATGACTATCTTATCTATCGTAAATGCTATGTAACTACCAAATAATTATTTCACTGTTCTGGCCTAATAATTATATTGAAAAGTTAAAGTGTTGTACCGTATGAGTTTTGGCACTTCAAAGGGATCTATATTGTCTGTAAAAATAACTGAGACTGTGTGCTATCATTTGAAAGGTGGTTAAACAAATTACTTAGTACTTTATAGACTTAATCTGTGTGCGAATACAGAATATCAGTCGGTCACATTACTTAACGCGAAAATAAAACGGTTGACAGATTAGTGAGGATAGTGGCCTTAAGGCCACTGAAAAATTGGGGATCAATTTTGCTTCGAATGAATCATAAAAGCTGCTGATACGATGTGCTCTGGCAGAGAAATCTACCGGTCCACTATTCTATGGGAGTAACGAACTTCCTGATGTGCACGATTTGACCATGATTTTTGAACTTTAAGATGATTCCCTTTCGTGAGTCAGCTTTTTCATGGGAAAAATAGACACGACAAATTGACACATAAGTCTTTGCGTAAAATGCGGAATCCTAAAGTGACCTGATCCATCAATCGCAAATATGAGAGTGAAAGTAGGTGAAGTCGACTAATCTCCCCTTATATGAGAAGTGGGTGAATCCCTTCATGAATTTAGTCCGCATTCTTTGATCCTCAGATGATTGAAGTCTATAGTGTTGATTGGTTGGTCTATTTTCTTAAAGTTATATCAATAATGTTCTATTGTCCAGACTAATCTCTCAATTTATTGATGCGATATATTGTAATTTGCACCTCATAACTCCCCCTTGGAAAAGAAAGAAGGGTGGATGTGAAGCTAGAAACCTCATCCCACAGAAACAACACCGCTTCTGAAACTTCAAAATGTAAAGCCCTTTGTTCCACTTGGAACATATGGGATGCAAAACATCATGTTCACTACTTTGTTAGTCATTAGAAGCGTCTGTAATGCAAATACAGAAATATAATTACGCAGAAACTGTATCCATTTCTCATCATCAGACTGTAAATTATTGATTGTATCATTTGCTTGTCTATAGTTTCCTCTAAAACAATTCATGTCAACTTGAATGAGTTAGTTCAGTTTACTAAAACTTGTTATTCCCCATCCTTTTCTGTCTTACTGAAACTAAATGACTAGTCTGGATTAGTTCACGACTTCTGTCTCATTACGATACTGTTTTTTCTAGCAAGTAGATAGTGGCTAGCAGTAGACTCGAGGTGTGTTTTGCCATGTTCACGACTTTTCAGCTAGACTCACCTACATCTCAGTTAGCAGTTACCTTCCTAATGAGGTTCAAATCTAGCTCCTATCACTTCACATACTGAATTGTTGTCTACATCTAAATGAACTAGTTTGATGCTTGGTAAACTGAACTGAATTTTCAGCGTTGAACTTCACACACGAGTGCAGTAGTTTAAGTTACAATACTTTAATTATAAAAGTTCACATAAGAATAAAGCAAAAAAGAAATGCAAAAGCATTTAATAAACGGAAATGCACGAGAGAAAGAAATAAATATATTCGGAGTAATGAGTATTTAGTGAATCTTGCGAATCACATTGAGTGAATGCATCTACTCCAATGAGAACTCCAACACTCTTCAACCACTGGTACTTGTCATCTCGAGAAGCGCATTGTGCAAAGTTTGCCCATCCTTATGTGGCTAAGACCAATAGTCAAAGACTTCATGGAATGATGCTATATTTTTGTTTGATCATCTGTAACAGTTTTCCAACACAACTCTTAGTCAGCAAACGCTCCTCAGCATGCTAAACACGTGTCTCAGCATTCTCAGTCGATGCAGCTTTACAACCCTATTGATTGAATCCCGTCGTTAGCTAATGGTCTACGCCTAACCTCAATATTAGAGCACCTAACACGAGAGATAAAAGGCAAACATCTATATTTGCTAAAGATATAGAGAGAATATAATTTTTTTAATCTTCAAGATAATAATTAAGAAGAACTTCAATTTCGATTTCATCATGAGCCAATGGAGACGCACGGCTGAAGCCCTATGCTCCTCTAGGAATTAAAGGAAAAAATAATAAATAATAATAATACAATGTCATTCAGAGAATTATTGAAAGCCAGACGAATTTCAACTATAGCAGACAACACAAAGCGCCTTCTAGATAATCTTGAACAACCAAACATAGTAAGCCGATGTTAGAACTGGTAAATTTGGTAGTTAACTGTTTTCCCTTATAGACAGTTTTATTCCTCTCTAAGTACTGTAATAAACTTTCTCAGTTGATCATAACAGAGAGTCCAACAGCTAGACAAAACTAGGAAACAAGATGAACAGCAAACTACAAAAGTAATACATGTATGGCATTCATGATGAATGATGTGATTAGTCACTTCTGGGTTATTTTGAAGGTTTCTCGGTCGAGTTATTGTTAGTGGCTGTTATAATATAACTTCGCTAAACATAAATGAGCATTCATCAACAATGATGTGTATTGATTCGTGTGCTGCTTATCACTGCCGTTTTGCACGTCTCAATGATAGATTTTGACTTACACAGATAGGATAACTTCAAAGCCACACAAGTTATAATCTGGTGACTGGCATCTAAATCAACCCTACAACAGGAGGCGAGTGAATTTAGCTTGGTTTATTCAAAGGCGATATCTCTGACTGCATTGCTGAACAGCAGTGCTTCCAAAACGTCTTGTTTATAAGCCGTTAAAGGTAAGAAACCTTGTCACCTTACAGTCGACCCTATGCGATAGACTGTCTGACTATTACTCTGGAATCTGTTCATTATGGATTCTTTTACATACATATAAATTTTCCATGAACCACATTGTGATTTTTATCAGTTTTTTATTCATTTCTATTTAAACTGTATACAAGTATTGTACTCACAGTTACTTTTCATGTATATTTTCACTAGCCATATGTTAAACAAGGTTATATGTCTGGTGGCGGGGGTTATGTCCTGTCACGTGCTGGTGTTATCAATATAGCCAATGGTTTACAGAATACCACAAATTGTATAAATGACCAATATACATTTGCTGAAGATGTCAAACTTGGTAAGTGGTCATTTTTATCTACACAGAACTTTTCCGACTGAATTGATTCCAGTGGAATCTGTGGAGGTTTGCGAAATTGATTATAATGAAATTATGGCCTGGCTAGCTGCATTGCAGTAGTGACTAACGTTTAGTAAGTCCACGTGTCCAGTCGGAACCCATCAAACTTGCGTTTCAAACATAACATCTGACTAGCTACCTTATCAGATACCTAAGTGACTCAACACAACTCTCAACAACCTGGAATATACTTCTGGATGCACAAAAATGAATAAACACAAATAGATTATGGATGATTACAAAGTTATGTGTGAATTTTAAGAAATAAAACAATTTCAGCAGATGGCATAATCACGAGGAGTAATTTTATTTGCAATATTACCAAAATCAAAAAAACTATCCTTGTGTGTAAACAACGGCTGAAATGCAATTGTATAGTTAAGTGATCTATGCCACAGTGCAAGAACTTTTCACTCGTTACGTAACTGATAATTAGAGAGATTTTCACTTAAACTCAGTGTCAGATAAGAACTCTGCTTTATGTGTGTTGCAAGCATATTTGAAAAGCAAGTCGCATGTGGAACAAATGTTAACTCTCAGTTTACATGAAAACATAAGATTGTTGGAATACTTGAAATGCGAAAATTTTAATTATTTTGTGAAAACGTTGCCTGATCGCCTAACTGACATGAAGCCAACATTCCACGACTCTGTGAATTATTCGCATATATTAGTGTGGTAATGTACAGTCCTTTACCAACCTATTCTCACTTCGGCTAATGGAGTTATCAGTGAATGGACGTGTCCGTGCGTATGTATCCCATCCAACTCACTTAGAGCACATTCATGATTTCATTGACTAACTTGTCTTCCTGACTTGTCATCTACCTTGAACGTCAATATCATTCAACCTACTACTTGCATGCAGTGCCACTGAGACACGTATAATTGTGATCCGTGAACCTTCTTGTCATCTTTCATCTGCTAATAGCCAAGAAACTACTGAACAGCATAAAAGTCTAAATACCTACCTAACTTGATTTCTCAGGTTTCATGAATCAAGCTCAAGCGAGGGTTGGAATGGTTTGGGTATATAAACCCCGATATTACCCGGTGACTTCAGGTACAAAATAAAAAAATCAAACATTTGAATTGCCTTCATTACATTACTACCATTCACTCCTTACGTTCTGAGTGGAATTTAAGGCTTCAGTAGCACATACATTTCCATCCCACTTGGTTCCCTGCCATCACTTTCTGCTGGCCTTACAACATGTCGGATTTCATCAGCCTTCTGTTGTTTTCTTTGCACTTTATTCCCTCAGATGTTACATTTAACCACTAGACACAATGCACATTAGTCGGGATTTTGTATCATTTATAGCAATAAATCTCTTATCCATTGACATTTTGTCTACCTTATCATGAATTTATATTACGTGAAATTATAAAACACATTCCAATTTTTATTCGTCATGATCCTTTTATGAATGTTACAGAGTAATAATCTAGTTTACATTTATTCTTATTTGAATTTCAACTTAAGGTCTTTGCGCTGAAGCTACAAACGTCAGCGTAGCCGACAGTTTAGATGCAGAAGGCCGTGAATGTTTCCATCCTTTCTCTCCCTCCAGTATGCTTACAAAAGATCCCAAAGGTTATCCTGGATGGTTTTTAAAGTATAATTACCATAGAATAGATACAGTAAGTTATCTCTCTGGTATATGTAAATTATTTTCAGTATATATCAGAATGACTACAGATGTGTCATGGTTTCGTTTATTGTCACGTGACTTGACGATAACCAGGAATAGTTTCAATAGCATCAGCAGCGACAAGTCTGTCTTTACTATTAGGTAATCAAAGATATAAAAGCGTTCTCTGATGGTGTTAAATTAAAATATGTTATGATATGATGTTAAAATGATGTTAAATATGATGTTAAATTAAAATATCTTAACCATGCAAATGCACCAAAAATGCAGTAAGAAAGTAATGAGTCAATTTTAGGTCGTTTAAGTAAATGTGTGTTTAGATTTTGGGTTTGTAAGGGTTTTCTCTAGTTCTGAACTCCAAAAATCCCACTGGATAAGCTCAATGATTGCATTGGTTTGAGATGACTTTGTGTTGTGAACTGACAGATGTTGGAGTTCAGTAGTCATAGGATTCCATCACATTGGCTGGTCTTTTATTGAATTTCCCTCATGATCCTAAGATCTTGGAAACTATTCCCGACGAAACTTAGATGTGTGCACTGCTGAAAAATTTCAAACTATGACGAAACATCTGCTCAGCGTTCTTGAATAGAATTGTGTTTTTTACGGCTTAGATAGATTAATTTACCATATCGAACATGAGTGTGCTAGTTTAAGTTTCTATCTCTTCTAAACTCCTAAAAATATAAGGCGATTGGAACAGACTAATGTCATAACGAATAAACAAAAGGTGTGAGAGAGGCGAAAATATTACAATTAAGATTTATGGGAATACTTAGTTCGTGAAAAATTCTAAAGCGTAAATTAATATATCCGAGACAGTGTGATAGATTTTAGACTTGACTAATTATTACACTTTCTTACGTAGCACTAACCAACAAACGGGGAGTGGATAAATTTATGGCAAACTTCAATGTGAAGCTTTCTGTTTTTGATAAGTTGGTGTTGATATTGAATTGGTTTGCGTATTTTATGCATCATTCATCTGTACTAATATTAACGTCCTTTGTGGATAATGTATTTCTCCTTCCACCTTTACACTACAGATATTATTCTCTACATCATATTTGACAGCCGACATTGAAAAGTCATGTAGTAAATCAGAATGCATTGTGTTGCATAAGGGTAGCTGGTTCGCGTTCCATCTAGCTTGGTTTTTATGAAATTCTATTCACCACACATATCTGTCACTGACTATTATGGTCAGTAGACTTGCCTTTCTATACAGTATACAGAAATTGTGTATAGGCAGTTCAGTGGTAGAATGCTCACCAGCCACGCATGTGGTGCAAGTTCGGTTCCTGGCTGACACAGTCCCAAACCTCGCCTAGGAAGCAGTCAGGCCAGTTAAGAGGGAAGGTTGTTCGTGAGGCTAGCAACTCTACCCCATTAAAAAACACTGCCACTACTAGAACTTCCATGCTCAAGTTTGAAGTCCTCTTCTTCAATCGGGATGCAAAGGAATGCTTAAAAAAGCAAACCACCGAAAAGAAGTTCACTTATCTGTCCATCATTTGAAGTTACTGTACTTTTTAATGTCACAGTGAAAAGATAAACACGTTATGGTAACTCACATATATGCTATTTAAGAAATCGGGTTTGTGTGATTTGAGGTTACTTCAGAGTTGATTTCTTCACAAAAAGAAATTAGGTGGAATACAAATCAAAGCCAAAAGAGTGATAGACAACTGTAGTGTTGTGCACCGCCGATAGGTTGCAAACTTGGACAACACGACTTCTTCCAACTCACTACTGTTTTTCAGTAGTAGTTGTCAATCTTATATAGGCTGAGATGTTTTTAGTGAACAAACTGTTATTATAGAGTTGATCGTGAGACTATATCTGGAGTAGACTTGGGTTGGCAAACTACTAATGATGTAATTTGTCGGACTAGTTAATCGAGTGAAATGGAAAAGGCTGAGTAGTTTAAGTGCTTAGAGCCAATCTAGCTATTGACCTCGGCTCCAAACAAGCGAAACAACTGTCGGATGTTAAGATCGTGTCGATGGAGGAAGCACTGTTAACTATGATACATAACTATTATGGCAGTCTACAAGTTGATTGTCATCTCCATCCTGTTAACTACAACTTGCCAATTATTCTCTTATGTAGACACTCATCATTTAGATCTAACTGCATAAGTTCGTTATTCTGTTCTCCATTTTCTTCGTGTAAACATGAGTTAAATTAAAAATATTTTATTTGACATGTTAATAGTGTACAGTATGCGCTTACATCTTTGTTTGAAGAACAATTGTCTCATACTGCTGGGTGTTGTACTTATCTAATGCTTTTATATTTCAGAAACAGAAAAAGTTCAGTGACAAGTCTCTCGTGCTTTAATTTTAATAAATTAACTCACACTTTGTGTGGTTAGCACTAATTATATCGATAAGAGAAACCATACGTTGGTCATCTTAAGTAAACCAAAGTCTATAATTCATTGCATGACGTAGCTTTAGGACACTGAAATTGGAACGAAGATGTAAGTCACAGCATGTTGGAATATCCATAGAGTTTAGTTCGAATCCGGTTGTGACACTGACTTCTGTTACAATTTCAATCATTATTCTCCTATAACTGTAAGAAGATTGTGTCAGTATAATAGGCGTTGAGTACTGCATAAATTCCAGTATCTCACTATCTGATGTCAATTTTATAAAGAAATAAATCCATATTGATGTATGAATTGTGTTAAGTAATCGTATGTGTGTTTTTTCTTTCACTATTGTTTCCAGGGTTTCGACTGCTGCAGTGATTATGCGGTGTCTTTTCATTACATAACACCAGGAGAAATGTATCTCTTTGAATATATGCTCTACCATTTACATCCATATGGTATACATCGAGATTTTATGGATTTAATGAACTATTTACAGAAGAAAAGTATTTCTTAGCGTATATACATTCAATGTATAAATAGACAACTAGCCTTCTTCTTTACCTTAGCTACACTTGTGTTATTTTACTGTTTAATATATTTCAATTTTATCACAGTACATATCATTAAATGAATTTAAATCACATTCATGATCAGGGAATTTCTAAGCTGATCAAGGCCATGACAGGGCATGTTAAGTAGATTTCGGCCTAATATTTATTTGCTTTATTTTTCAAATTGTAACAAACTATTTATGTACTGCCTTCTATTTTCTTTATCTATTTTTTTCTTACTGGTTCCTTTTATAATATTGAGAAGTATTGTGTACAGACTACTCTGTACCTGTGTACGTGTGAGTTTTATGCGAGGTGATTAGGGCTTAATTTCTATAAGGCATTAATGTAATGATGTCTCAGTAATGTGTATTGGTCAACTTGGCTTGTTTCTACATGTTTTTATGGTATTTGTATTTGTACACACTGAATAAATTTACTGCCCTTTCCTATCTGTTGTACAAAAGAAAACAGACGTATCTGTGTTTATGTACATAATGTAGATAATGGATAAATAAAGATTTTTTTTAGTATGATGGTGTAAATGTTTTTACTCACGGCTTGACGTCAACATCCTGTTCAACTGATTTAGAAACAATTTGTGGTAGTACATAAGCTACGTAAACTGTTTTAGCAGTATGCTGTCTAAACTGAAATACGCCGCATAACCTTATGACAATGGGATTTTTGAATGAAACATAGATAACGGTTTTTGCGGAATAAGATGGCCTCATCCTTTACTTCGTTGCCTTCTCGTCGGTGAGTTACTGCTTAAAGTTCATGTAGAAAGAGAACAAAAGTGTATCGCACTATCGGTGAGACAACTTCTTGCTGTCAATGTGTTGATGAGACATTTGTAGAGTATGTGACAGTGAAAGTCATGCATCCAAACCACTGGAACTATTTTTTGACGCACAAAAAGACATTGGCTTCACTATGGCAAATTAAGGTAACAGGAGGTTTCATTGACGTCGGCATGCAACGCTTGAGAGATGGTGGTGTCTGGAGATCTATTCAGTGAAAGCCAAATTGAAGTGGACAGTACTTGAACTTCAATAGATTTTGTCCAATTAACAATAAACCAGCATTGGTTCTGACTCTGTTTTACAGAGCCAAAACATAATGCTTGACTAAGAATTTGAAGAAAGAATTCCTGGTTTCTGAGGTGTTAAAAAATAACGGTTACCTTCCGAAATTTTTTAACAAACATGGAAGATGTGATTTAAGTGCAAAACAAATCACAGTGAAAAAGAAGCCTATTCTCACAGAGTTTGATCTTAAAGGTGACAGTATTGCAGGATTAGTCAACAGAAGATTGAATACTTCACTAGCCAGAACCTGTGCCGTAGCCAGATTGGTTCCCGTTTATCCAATGAAAAGCTCTTTGATGTAATCACAGGCCAACAGATGCCCTTCTTACTTTAGCTGTAATTGTGCGTACAAATTTACATGTATTTGCAGTTGCACTTACATTGGGAAAAAAAAGAGAATGACACACCTTTGATTATCTGGGAATATACCAAAAAGCCTACGCTTTCAACAGTGCTACTAACAGGTACTTCTTTGATATGAGTTATGAAGTGGACACCCTGAAATCCTTTAAAATTATCAATAGGTAATACAGTTCATTGCTTCTCGGCAATTGCTATCAAACATCTAAAACCTGATTTATATGTTCAGAAAGAAAGAGTTATCAGTCTTTCCTTGTCCTGGTAACTCAATGTCTTTACTCCCCATTTGGTTTTATTACGCATTCTTTAGCTTCAACCTCTTTTCCTTTCGTTATGATGCGATTTTTCCTGTCTTTTTTCTGTGATTTCAGTTGGATTCATCACATTATTACTCAACGTGTTAGTTACTCATCATCCAATCCACCTCCTGTTTTAATTACGCAAATCTTTTTCCATTATGTCCAAACATTTACTGTTGTCCTTCGATTTTGTTTTCTTTACACTTGAAACTTCTGTGTATGAGTAGAATTACTGAGCACTGTTTCTTAATTTTTGAGTCTCCTGCTAACTGACATCATGTCACCTTCACAGGCACGTCAAAATTGCTCTGTACGTAAACTTAATTGGTGTTGTTCTGGGCTGTTAGCAGCCGATGAGAAACTCACGAAACAAACGATATCACCCTCTTATTCACCACAGACTGTTGTTTTTCGATTTTATTCAAATTAATAAGGGGGAATAAATGTACAAAATAAGATTTTTATAATCTAGTCGTCATGGGGTGGAGTTACTGATAGCCTTTGTTCCTTCCTATTTGATTCGAACGCACTTTTCATCATGTAACATATTTTTTCTTCAGATCGAAATTCGATTCTCATCACCTCCAACACACAAGCATTGTAAAGCATAACACTTAGTGAGAACATACTTTACGCGTTATGAAGTTTCTTGTATATATATTATATATATATGTATAAATATTATTTGTGTGAGAGATGGACCCAGTTGTTTATCGAGGGTAAAACAGGACGTTCAACAAAGGCCAGTCACCGTTCCTACTAATCATGAACAGGTATTGTGAAAATGTAAGCAGAACTAAAACTGAAGTTAAAGGAGGTTCTTTATTGAGTCGACACTGACAAGGAAAACAACCAATCTCTGTTCCATTCGAGTTGAAGAGTTTTCAAAAGAATACACTAAAAAATCCACCAATGATAGAATTCAAGACAATCCCGCTACGTTACAATGACTCCACCGTGACTATGAATTCTAAATCCTTCCAACTTTTGTCTGAATATCAGTCTCCTGTTCATCAATAGATAACTTCAAGATGAATTCTCTGAAGCTCTGATGTAAATCTGCAATGGATGGAGTTCATCAAATCAAGTTCGGGAATGCAAATGCATCGATGACACTTGGTGGAAGTAGAGCTATATTAAAAAATTGTCAGGCATTTGGAAGTCCCACGTCATGGGATTGTGACTCAGCAGTCGAAGAACAGTGAGCTAATTTTGCGAGCTGATGGTCCCTAAGTTTAACTGCTAGCAGTAGTGTTTCAGATCATTAGAAACAAAAGTCTGTTCACTCCAGTTATCATTTCACTGTTTCGCCAACCAGCCATTGTCGATTTATTATAAAGTCTGCTTTGAAATCTACCAAATTCTTATGAACCTAGTTCATATGAATAAGTATATTGTGAAGTGTTTTTGATCTGGCTGGGTTTTTCCTCAGCTAGATGGTTTAACTGAGAAGCTTTTATTCTTCATCTAGACACCTTCAGTGTTTGCTTCACAGAGCACACAGGCACAACAAAAATTCCAGCTGTGCTATAAATCTTCTACACTACTGTGGAGTATTCTGCAGAGAATTAATGTGACCTAGAATGTAATTCGATTGAATTCAGTAATTTGATGAAAACAAATTGGAATTCCAATGTTAAATAAATTTATTTGTTCGTTTCTAAGTAAATTTATAGATACTGCTACTTTGTATTGAGGTGTATGCAGGCAGTTACACTATAATAGTGCATCCTAAGATAAGTGGATTGACAGATAGATGTAAACGAAGAAACAAGCTGATAGAACAACGATTAACATAAAGAGACATAAACACACCGACAAAGAAAATAATAATAAAGTGCATTGGTTTAACAATCAAGCACTGAAAAGTAAAAATCAAAAAGGGGTGAAAATTTCATGGTTCGAGAAAATGAACTTGTAAATATTTAGACAATACACTTGTTCATATTGAGAAGTATATTACTGGAATTCATTCTGTCTTTGCTTATTTTTGTGTGTGTATGACTTTCTTTACAAATCTTTTACTTCTTCTCCGTTTCTCTGCAACCCATTTTTCATAATAATGTTCTCTGACATTCACCTATGAGTGAATACTCCGTTTTAGACATCTCTGGCGCTGCATGAACTGAAGCTGTACCAGGATCTTTAAAAGGCGAAGAATAGACAACAAGCAGAAAATAATAATAGTAATAATAACATGCCAACCAACAGTAGCAAACAATGCTCTTTTAATTATCTCAACGACATAGTTTCAACCACAAATGACATGGATGGGTATGTTGGAGTCGGGGTCAGGAAAGTAAGACAGTGTTCAGTTTACTGTAAATTTCTGTCTGGTATAAAGATCTAAAGTATTTAGTACATGGAACAGAAATGGAATTTATATGCTAATATTAAATCAGCGATCCTATATGTTTCATAGACTTGGGGTTTTGCTGAAAGCGTTTACAGCAGGCTGCAGACTTTCATCAACAGCTGCCATTGCTCAATACAAAGTGGTCTACATCTAATCGTGTACGTTTTAAGTTTTTCCAATTACAGTATAAACTGTATCCCCCAAAGTAATATTCCCATATACGCATAACAAATGTTTATATGACTCCAATTCCTCTGATATATCTATCTTCGCAGACGAATTTTCCGCTCCTGTTTTTGAAAATTCCTAGTTAATAGTATGTGAGGACTTTAATTCCTGCGATCATAGCTTTCCCATATCACCTTGTCATGAGAACCTGGTCAAATCCATTACTCATCTGGACAAAACCCTAAACTTGGTTTTCATAAACGATCGTGACTTATACGAGGTACGAAGGAGAGCCCGATTGCTGGATTTTGACCACTGCATTATTTGTATTTTACCGAAAGTGTACGACAATTTGCACAGAAGGACTTTCGCTCACCTAACAAAAAATATCTAAGAACGATCCCATTCACAAGACAATATTCAAGCACTAAGATGTATATTGCATGATGCTGAATGAGACCTATTCATTAATAAAGTGTTAGGGGTTATTGTGTCTAATATCACCTCCTATCTCAAGTTATATTTGGACATTCGCTGTCCTACTGAAACACTATTCACAAGATTCCATAGGATCTCTACTGCACAACTAAAACAGCTTAGAAGAGAAAAATAGAAACTGTATAAATCACTTGGTAATGTAAGTTTTCAAACGATAAACTCTCTGATAAGTCTGAAATGCAAAGATTAAG